ACTGATGCTAATTAATCAATTGGTGTCATGTGTTATGAATGATGTGTCACAGGGCTCTGTCCTCTTCAACATTTTTATTAATGATTTGGAAAATATTGATACCATGCTGACTGGATTCAGGGATCATGCAAAACTAGGGAGGATAGCAAATATGTCTGAAGATAAATCTGAATGTAAAACTGACACGGGGGAATAATGGGCAAATCTAACAAAATGAAACCTTGGAGAATTGACAAGCACGGCACACAGGGCTGTGAAGTCAGTGTCCCCAGCATACTGTACAGGCTGTCTTAATCTGATGCAAGAACAGGTGAAAATGAGTGGGAAGTTCAACAGTGAGTCATGAGAGTCAAGAGTGTGATGAAACTTCCCTAAAAATCTACTGGGTCTTAGACTGTGCTGATGAAAGCCTGGCATCCACGATGATGCAGATGATTGTGATCTTTTTTGTTCTGGCCAGATTCTGAAACGTTCTCTTCAGTTCTGGACAGCACATTTTAACTGTTGGTATATATCATCAGAAACCAATTTTAATTTTGAGTTTCTTTTTTGAGAGTTGATTTGTACGGTTGATATTTCATGAATTTTATTCTTTGAGGTCTTCCAAAAAAAAAAGGAGAGAGACAAAATATAGTTATATAGGATAAAACCCATTTTATAGAAAAAAACTCATTCTATTTTGCAATTGTTATGTAGGTCTATGGTTGGCCCCGTCCATAAATTGAAGAGTATACCTTTCTAGAAGGTATGTGGGTATATATAAAAGGTATAGGGGTATAATAGGTTATCAGTATAAATCTAAAATAGCTTAGTGATTTTTCCTGTATTTTGAAACATTTTGTTATTTCATCATTCATAATGATGGACTTCATTATTACTCAATTATTCCCACTGTATTTTTTGAAAAGACTAAAATAATAAAATGGAAAAATGGTGGGGATCACCTAGAAAGATGATGTCATTGTGAAATAAATCAGTTATTACATCATCCTTTGTTTTCTTACTGCTTTGCCCCAAAGTACTGCATCTTTCAAGATACAAAAATAGTCCAGGCACCTTTCTCATACTCTTATTTTCAACTTTCATTGAACACAGTTGAGATTTTAGAATTTTTCTCTTTCCTTTTTTTTTTTTTGGTCTATAATGGTAGAGAAGAAAATTGGCAGAGATACAATTCACAATTATTGGCTAAATCAGAAGATAAATAGAGAGAGACTGATAGCAGCACTTTAGAGGCTAGTGGTGAAAATGATTCCATAAGCAAAATGAGAGATGACAGTATCTTAGATGAATATTCTAGATGAATTTTCTCTAACTCAAGTATCAATGAATGAACATTATATTTTGAAGGATGAAAAGGATATATGGTATTCCCATCCAGTTAGTCCTTCAATGGTAAGGACTTGATCCTGAAATATTTTGTGAAAATAAGCTAGACCATACTATTTTGCTAAAAGGATATGGACAGTAATCTTTTTTAAGCTGCTATATACTAACATTTACTTGATAAGGCTTGTAAATGAACAAATCATATCAGGTCTGTATATAAAGGTTATCAAAGGCAAGAGAAGATGTAGAAATGAACAAAATTCATTGGACCAATCATTCTAATTGGTATTTATAAATCTAAAATGCAAACCTTTGCAATTATGGAGCAAAGAAGATGATGATATTTTCAACAAGATGATATTTTTCAACAAAAATACATGACTTCACAGTTTTCAAAGATCCTGTGCTTTGACAATGCAAGTGCAAACAGAATCAGAGTAATGATAAACTAGAATCTGATGAGGATGTATTTGAAATCTGGAATCAGTATTTACAAGATGGGTACATTCCAGATTCTAGCACAACAGCTGATGAGCATTTAGATGCATTTAAAGTACTTTGCCCACTTACGGTATATACTTCTTCAAAACCAGGAAATATGGAATAAAAGCTTGGGATTTTCCATATTTAAATTCTTATTAAAATTTCAGATAAGTTGTTTTCACTATCCCTTGACTCTTACTTTTGCATGTTATTTGTAAAATACCTTCAAAGTAAAAAAAAAAAAAGTAAAAGAGCCCATTATATAGTAAATGGTGAAGACAATTTTTACTGGTCCAGTGAGGGTTAAGAGGGGCTCTGCCAAATTTTATAATGATTCTGGAAACTTCTAGATCCCAGACACCTCCAATTGTTTAAAGTCCTGGATTCTCACTCTCCCCAGGAAAAAGCAGCTACAATGAAATTGTATACATTAAATGGTACAGGGAAGGTACGTGGTACATAGAAGGTACGTGGTACATGGGCTTCCTGAAGTTCACAGAAGGGGAGAGAGACTGAGAGAGTAAGTAGCTTTCCTACATTTGAACTGGAATCTAAGGCATTATAATTCCATCACCTTGGTTTAGTCTAAACTCTAGCATTTTACAGCTAGAATTATCCCTTGACCAGTGTTAATACTAAAATTGTTAATTCAATTATTTTTAAAACTAGACGAAAGCAACAGCTACTATGCTTCAAAACATGTTCTTTTCTACTCTAGTCCTCTTTCTTTTTCATCTTTCTAAAGTCAAGGTCCTCTCCAAGTTCTCTGAAATGTAATATTATCAAGGTAGTACAAACCTCAATTCTACCATTAACCCCAGATAGCCAATTTCTTTATGTCGCTGAGGGTCACTATCTGTCATCAGGAAATTTAAAAAAGGCTGATAAATACAGCACCTACTTTATATGTATAGGAGACATGAAACTGCCAAGGATATTAAAAGAATCTCAGCTGGGCCATTTATAGGGGGAAGGGAATCATTCTTCTTTAGACGGCTGCAAACCTGCCACTGACCTTTTACCTACCAGCACATGAGTTATTAATCAACTCAATTGTATAACATGTACAACAGCTTGTCAAGTTTTACTGCTTAATGAGCCAGGAGAATAAGGCAAATTTATGTACCAAACACAGGCTCATTCTTCCTTGGTTAACATGTATATCACCTAACAAAGCCTCCAGTTGGATCCTTTGGTAGGTGTTTTCTACTGTCACCGTTCCTTTGTGTTCAAAGTCGAACTACAAATAAAACACTGCCACAATGCAGATGTGCTCAAAAGTTGGGGCTGAATGAAGCTGACAGGGGCTTTAGGGCAACTTTGTCAGCACATTGGTCTATCCAGATGTGTCACAGTGAGGGGAATTCAGAACTCCCTCGAGTTCCAATGCTCAGTGCAAATGTGAAAAGGAGGAAGACCGTAAGCAATTTGGAACTTACAAAAAAAGAAAAAAAATCTACAATGGGAAGGAAAAGAAACATAAGAGCAAGGAGAGTCAAAACAATCTCCTTTGGTGGGAGGCTGTGACTACTACTCCTTAAAAAAAAAAGCATCTTTTCACCTTTTCCCTTGTCCAGGTCAATATTTAGCAGTATTTCTGTAGCAATTTTTATATACGTGCTTGTTTATCTTGCTGTCATCTTGGAGAATTAGCACATCTATTTTTCCAGGGCCATTATGTACGTGACAATGTATAAATTGGGAGCTGTTTTCTAGAGAACTCTACAGATGTTAACATGAGCAGGAAAGGCCTGGCCCTTAACAGGTGCCTCCCGAACCCCGCCAAGGCACCTCCCGCCCTCACCATCCTCCTCAGCCTCATCCTGGGGCTCGTTCTCGGCCTCACTGTCGGTCTCAGCCTCCTCCTTGCCCTCGTTCTCGCCCTCGCCCTCGTGGTCCAAGCCGGCATCCCGGAAGGCGGTGACGTTGGTCCCGCACGTCGACTGCAGGCGTGCCAGCAGCAGCCAGCCAACCGTCAGCAGCAGCCTGGCGGAACAGCCCGCACCCCCGGGGCTCATGGTTCTCGGCCCCGACGGCCGCCCAAGGCGCAGTCGCAGCCTCCGTCTCCCGACCAGAGGCGCCTCGAAGAGAGGAGCCGCCCAACGCCGAATCCCCGCACCGTGCCCTGGCAACCACTGAGGCGTCACAGATCGTCCCCGGCGCGCGGAGGCCACAGAACACGCTCACGCCCGTCGGCCTGCCTGGTGCCCCGCGGGCCACTTCCGACGGCGCTCGGGCCACGCCCCCCCGCCCCCGCCCCCGCCCCCCCACTGCCGGCGTTCCAGGCCGTCCAGGCGCGCTGCGCGGAGCCCCGCCGCTGGCGCTTCCTTGGTGGATGAGCAGCCGGCCAAGCTGTATCAAGGAGGATTTGTCGAAGCCTTATTAAATAGGGCTCCCCAGACTAGATCCGTATCTGCAGGTGAGGCTTCATTTGTAGAGGAATATAGGGGTGCCCTTTCTTTCTTTGATCTAAACACTACTGTTAATGCAGCTCAAGCATGAACTCATGTTTTAAGATTTTGTGCAATACCAGCAGCTCTGCGCAGTGCTTCATTGAGCCAGAATGGGAGGCGGGAGGAAAAGAAGGGACAGGGCAAGATGCAACTACTGTCAGACTAGTTCTCCATTCTATGTTTGGATAGCTGATGTTTTGGGAATAAAGTATAGGACTTAACTTTTGTCCCTTGTGCATGTCGATCGTCATGCTTTTGGCCTATTTTAAAAGTCTCATTGAGATCCTCTTGACTCCAGATTCTGTTGCTTTAATTTGGTAGTTATTTCTCTCAAGTTTGATTTGGAAAATACATTTCCTTCAGATCACTAACAAAAATGTTTAAATGGGCAACAGGCAAAAATAGAGCACTAAGAGGTCAGTGTCTGACAACAATCCACCAATCCACATGTTAATTTAACTCAATAATCTAATTCTTTTACCAAAAGGGAGTCGTGTCTTTACTAAGATTGAATCAGACTAGAAGCAAGAATACCATGGCATTCCCACTTGAATCACTGCCCTCTTGACAGTATTTAATATCAGTATGTCCAGCTTTGTCATAGAAAAACATGAAATTCGTTAAGTTCCTTCATTTGATGGTATTAATTTCAAGAAGTCAGCTCTAATTATTTAAGATTTTTTTAAGAATAGACTCATAGGCTTTTTGAGTCAGAAAGAAGCTTAGAAATAATCTAACCCTCCAAATTCCTCGTTTTTAGGAGAAGAAATTAAGAACTGGAGAGATTAAATGACTCACTCAAGATCCTCCAGAAACTTATTGACAGTGCAAGGTCTCACAACCACATTTCCTGAATGCTCATTCAATGCTCAGTGATTCATATAACCTAAAGGTAACAATGAAGAAGGGTAGTCAAGAGTTCAAACACTGAAAACAAGTTAGTGTTGACATTTTTTGATCTTGTTATTCCACATTTGATTTTATTTAATAGCTACAATGTGATATTAAGAAAGCATTGATGGATAGATGGTTTGATTGATTTACATCTGGGATTTGAAACAAAACTCATGTGGCTATGTTTCTACATGATATCGCCTACCTTGAGGTTTAATGTCAAAATTCTTATGACACATGGGCTGAAGAGTAACCTACTACTATAGAGTGAGCTTAAGGCTAAACTGGCTTTTGGAACATATGTACATCGAGTCTCAGCAGACTAACAGTTAAGCAAGTAACTGAGAAACTTACTAGGAGGGTCTTCAGAGCCACTTATTTGTAACAAAAGTAGGTTACTTAAAACAAAAATAAAAATTTTAATTCAAATTTTTCTTTCAAAAAGACTTCTAGTTTTGAAAATAGTGAAAGACAAGAACTGCTAAAAATGGTCAATATTAAAGTTCAAATTGGTATTGGTAAGGAATCTGATAATATTTTATATCAACTGAAATACCACAAAATATGATAGCACCTCACAAGATTATGAGAGAAATTGATATGGGAAGTTAACAGATGATCTTGAGACACAAAGACGTTTGTTTCATGGCCAAGTGAATCAGAATTTTTCTTTTTTAAATACTGAGAGAGATAAGTAACATGTTATGATTTCAGACACAAACTTTAAGAAGAAAATCTATATTATTTCATGGCAACATTGTTGAATTCTTCATAAGTCAATTTAGGACACATCTTCCTGAAATGCTATCTTTTGAGGGCAGATGTGGGTTCGTCACCAGTTGTGGGTTCTGGCCATCAGAAGTCCCACCAAGACGGAATGAATTACTCGAAACTCTGGGGGAAAGTCAAGAGAGCAAGAGGGAGTCGAGAGCCAACTCCAAGAACCTCTCAAATGTCCCCACATTTATTGTGTACAATCAAAGGAGAAATCATTGACAACTGTGTGATGGAATGCAGGAATTTAGGGAAAGACAGGGTGGGATCTAGATTGTAGAGTCTGGCTCAAGGTCAGAAGACCCTTTATCTTTTGGTAAGTCACGTTCGTGTTGACATCAGCGAGCCTTACAGCTTATCAGGGCTAAACATCTGAGAAGAAGCTGCTTAACATTTTTCTTGGACTCAGGCGGCTGTGCCTGTCTTAGGTTGCCCCCCTCTGGGGGTCTTACCCGTCATTGGCTAAACAGCCTTCTCACCTCTGAGTCTGCAGCTTTGTATAACTTGTTTACCATTCCAGCCCAAGGCTCGTTCCTTTGGGTGCCTACAGTTTGCCTTTAGGGAAGTCATGGGAAGAGGGAGCAAGATACATTCTTATAGATATGTTAAAGCAGACCACCAGCCCAGCCAGTTCCTTGCTTTGGGGATAGTAGACTATCTAACAGCAGGCACGCCCAGCCCTTATAGACGAGGGCCTGGGTTGTTGCTTTGCAAGGAGCAGAGTGCTATCTAAAACCTCAGCTATGCAAGCAAGGCAGTTACTAAGCACATTTGCTCTTCTTTAAGGAGACAAGTGGCTGGGGTCTGTTACAATTTGTTAACCCAATCATGGGCTCCCACAGGCAGAGGAATTCCCATGAACTCTAAGGTAAATAATATAACTCAAGGAAACATTAATGACCAAGTGAACAGCTCCAGAGAGAATCCAGATGGAAATTAAGGGCCTCAAAGACGAGCTGAAAGACTTGACTCTTAAATAAAGGATATTCAAATAATATCTGTAATAGTAACAATACTAATCACTTATAAAATATTGTGTTACTCATATAAGTTATAAGAAAAGTATAATATCTGTCCTCAACAAATTTATACCATCTTTAGTTGAAGCACAAATAAGTGAAAGGTAAATATTGAAGGCATAGTATCAAGGGGGGTTGACCCTATTCCGACCTTGGGTGAGATTCCCAAGGACCTGGTTTACACTTCTGACAGCCTCACCTCAGTTCACTTAGCTTCCGTCACCCTGCCAGGCAGTACGTACCTCCAGTTTCCAAGGAGCAGGGATGACAGCCACTGTTCTGTGATTCTTCTGCCCCACTCCACCCCGAAATAACTCACCTGTGTGTAAGCATACTTGGCCTGTCTGGACGCAGTTAAATCATGCCTTTATCCAGTCTCCACTCTTATATACCCTAGAGGACCTCATACTCTGAAAAGGAAGACCAATTTGAATATTTGTGATATAAACATAAGATAATAAAGCCCTGAATAAAGGATTGACATGAAAAAAGAAAAAAGAAATGAATGAGAGAAATTACAAAGGAAGGATTAACAAAATGGAGCGACTGCCTGCCTAAGCAAATGAGAGAGAGGAGCAAGTAAAGGGAATTAGGGAAGTCAGTAGATGTTTTGTTTAAATAGTTTAAGTTGGAGATCAAAAGGTCAAGGTTAAAATTAAGTTAGAGATATCAAAAAAAGTCAAGTGGAATTGTCCAGTGGGCAGCTTGAGATTACCCCACACACGCACACAGCCAGAAGATGAAAAAACCACTGCCAGTGAAAAAACATGCATGAAAAATACATATGTACATCCAGTTAACATAATATTCTAAGTACTGCTGTAACATTATATTACTTTACAAAGTTATCAACATTACTTTAGTATTTATGACAATAGGTGTCTGGGAGACAAATTGATTTTGGCTTTAATATGTTTGAATTTGTAAAAAGCATTCTTTGTAATAGTCCCCGAGAGAGAAGGCCCTCAAACTGTTTTATCCTATTTCC